TTTCACAGCAAATATCTCTGCCAGACAGGGCAGGGAGCAGACCCCCAGAGGAAGGAAGTCGCAACAAAAGAGCTTCATCCCTCACCCCACGCACACATTTCGGCAGCACCCGCCTGAGAGTACACTTTAGGGAAAGAGGGTGAGAGAAGCAGGCTCGCTCTTACTACTAACCTAAATTAATTCCTCAGCAAGCCTTTCCCATTCATTATCGTCATCTTTTCTTCATAAATCAAGTCTGCCAGACTCAAAGACTGGAACATTCAGGAAGTGCTTACTCAAAACACAGAAACATCAATATGGAGACTGCAGACCCCGGAATGATAACAGGGTGAGCTATATTTACATCCCACAGTTGGTGATGCCTCAGCATACTTCACTCTAGAAATTCCGCTGGCTTAATTTATGTGGCTCATTCCTCATTCCCTTTCAGCCCACGGGCTTCTTATCATTTTCATTTGGAAACTTATCTGTAGGATTTCCCAAATCCTCACTGTCGTTCATTTTTGAAGTACCTGCATTCTGTCTTGAGTTTCTGGCAGATAAGCAGGGCTCCCTTAGATGCTGTCTGTCTACACCCCATGACTGTCAAAAATGTCCCCACCCTGGGAACAGGCATCAGATCTTAATAGCACTGACAGAGTAAAGGGTGCATTTCTCTCTTTGGTGGGATTTTCTCTTCCAAGCCATTAAAACACTTTAACATGCTTTTTCATATCTTTGCTATCTTTAGATTAGATGCTTAATGCATAAATCAGCCCAAATAGAGTGATGGAGTAGAGGGGGAGAGCCTGAAGCATTTCCTTGCATTCAACCCAGCGTTTGAGTTTAAAAAAAAACTTTACTCAGAAAAAAGATAAAGCTAAAATCAGATCGCAGATTAAAAATGGTTAAGGGAAGTGTGACTAGCTGTAGCCAATTCAAGCTCAGCCAATTATCACCAATTGTAAAAGATGACTTGTAAGAGGCCCCGGTGCCCCAGTACAGCAGAGCGATTAAATCTTTATAATGGAGACAAAAAAAAAAATGCCATGTAATTAGACACAGCCAGAAAAGGGTACGTACGTTTCCTCTTCCTGTGGCTGGTCCATTAGGGCAGGCATGCAGCCATTTCTTCACTGCCAAAAGACCGATCTATTCCCCCATCACTCAGTCTGCCTGAATCACATCTAACACTGGCCACTAAGGTGGCGTTTCCTTTGGCCACAGGCCACCAACAATCCTTGAGTTCCCTGCCTATCCCGCATCCAAATAAGTACAAGAATAACAGAGTCCCTATCCCACAGGTTATGTGTGCAAAATATCTAGCTGTCTGTTGAAGAAGTCAAGGGCATAGCTTCTAGAGCTGGGCACCAAGCTTCAAATCATAGCTGCGCAACTCCCTAGCAGTTTTCTCATCTGTAAAATGTGCATAATCATAGTACATACTTCATTGAGTGCTGTGGGGATTAAAGAAATTAATGTATGTCAAGGACTTCAAAGCTCGGCTGGCATATATTAAGTGCTACGTGAGTTGGCTGTTGTTGCTATCACCTACTTCCCAATAGCAGCATTATCATCATCATCATTATTGTTAAGCACTTTGCAATAGCAAGCATTGCCATCAGCAGCCACTTGTGAGGCTGCTACGCTTATCCAGGCAGGACAGAGCTGGGCCACTGGTTAGGGGAATGGAGAAGACAAGCTGACACCAAGAGGCAGTGCAAAGTAGGTGCACAGCCTTCCACAGATCCCAGGTGCAAGAGGGAAGGGACTGGAGACACGAAGTGGGACTCCAGGATGCTGTACCAGGGATCATGGGAGCACGGGCTCCACAGAGGGAAGTGGGGAAGAGAGAGGACTGGGAGCTTGGGGCAGACACATTGGCTTGAGTCCCCTCCAGGACTTCCACAGAGGACGGCCGTGGGCACAGCGATCCTTGCTCACCTTGAACATGAAGCTGCTGCTTCTTTTTCTTTCCTTGCATAACAGCACTGACTGGACACAAAACCACGGTCAACCCAGGGGAAGACAGGACAAATAGCCACAGCAAGTACCTCCCCAAGGACCCTTTTTGTTGACACAGGGACATTTCCTGAAGGTTTACTCTGCCCCAGCTGCTTCAGATATGTTTTCTCATTTCACCCTGACAATAACCCAGAGGAGCTGTGTGCTCAGAAAGGGTTACGTGACTTGCTCAAGGTCATGGGGTTACCAAGGAGCAGGAGTGAAAACTGAACCTGGACCTGTCAGAGACTAAAACACGCCCCGTACTGATGAACAGTCTTTAAAGGAGCTTATTAGAATTGGCAGGAGAGCCTCAGGCTTAGTCTCAGCAGCCCTGAAGTAGAAAAGAGACTTCCCTTGGACAACTGCTAAGCCAACCACATGCATAGAGAAGGTGGTGGGGGCGGGGGGGGGGGTCCAGGCACAGATCCAGAAACTCGTATTGTGAACTAGAGATGGGATTTCTCTGGGCCTTCATTAATCATTTTTAAAATGGGGATATTTGTCCTTCCTGCTCCACTCCTGGTATGACTGAGGAAGCTCCTATCAGATCAAGTCTCCTGCAGATAACAACTATAAACTCTGCAGACACACACACAGACAAAAAACAAAAACAAAACGAAGCAACTTTCTGAGGGCACTAGAGAGGAAGTCAAGGCAGGCAGATACTGGAGGGCTTTAACACTTGCAAGAAAGGTACGGCACTGGGTGAGGTTTTGTCTCTGATGGCTTTTCACCCAAGGGAAGGCCCGAGTTTCTACCGCAGGAGCAGCTAAAACTCAGATGGAAACCCACAGACTTACTGGCTTGAAGAAACAGAAGACAGAATACAGGCCTCCTTCAGCAGATGGAACATAAAGAGAAAACCTCAGCAAGGAGGAAGCTAGAGAAAGGAGCCCCAGATTTTGTGTGTAAACTCTGGCCAGATCTCTGGCAGACCCCTGAGCCATGCATGCACAGGATACTCCACCAGCTAAGGCTAGAAGAACAAACTTCAGCTGCCACCCAAGAGACAGAGCTGGCAGCTGGAATCCAACTCCGTGTTTGCTAAAGCAAACAACCAAAATCAACACTCATCAGAAGACTCTAACAGAATCCAGTCTCATACCATCACAGTCGCAATGTCCAGGATACGGATCAAAATGACCACAAAATGTCATAAAAAATGTTACCCATTGTCAAGAAATATGGTAATCAATGAAGACCAATCCCAAGTTCCCAGGATGCTAGAATTAACAAACAAGAATTTCCAAATAACTGTTATAACTAAATTCAATATCTGTCCAGCCTACCTCACAGAGTTGTTCAAAGCTAAAACATGGTCAGGCAAGCAAAAAGTGCTTTGAAGTTTCACATACACTACACCTAAAAACTACAAATAGAAGCGGTGTCCACTTTTCACGTCTGATCCCAGAAAGAAACCACACAATAAAGCAAACCATTTTAATATGCATCACCTTTCTTCCAGGAACAAGTTATACTCAAAGACTGATCAAAATTCTATTTTTAAATAAATCATAAAGACAAAAATGTGTGATCATAAATCAAGGCTTATAATGCCTATTATACCACAAATCATTTTTAAATGCAAAAATAGGCCACATGCCGGGCGCAGTGGCTCACGCCTATAATCCCAGCACTTTTGGAGGCTGAGGTGAATGGATCACCTGAGGTCAGGAGTTTGAGACCAGCCTGGCCAGCCTGGTGAAACCCCATCTCTACTAAAAATATATAAATCAGCCGGGCATGGTGGTACACACCTGTAATCCCAGCTACTTGGGAGGCTGAAGCAGGAGAATCATATGAACCTGGGAGGTGGAGGTTGCAGTGAGCTGAGATCACACCATTGCCCTCCAGCCTCAGTGACGAGTGAGACTCCATCTCAAAAAAAAAAAAAGGACCACATGTCCCAGTCTATTTTATGCAGTGGAGGAGACAGTATGCTTGGTGATTACCATCATTGTTTTTGAAGTTAGACAACCTGAGCTGAAATCCCAGCCTCATGACAGAGAAGCTTTCTTCCAAGGTGAGATACTTGGCCTCTCTGCACATCGGTTTCCTATTGGAAAATGTCAATATTAATGGTCCCTGCCTCTCAGGATTGTTGCAGTAATTCACATACAGGCCTGCATAGCAACATGGTTCGCAGTCAAGTGCTAAATAATAGCAGCTACTGTAAAGGAGGCCGGGGGAGAAGGGGACTTGCCCAGCCTTGTCCTGCTGGCCAATCACAGAACTGGGAGTAGAACCCAGATCCATTCTTCTGTTTTTAAAACTCTTCTTCACACAAGTTTTTAAATAGACACACATGCACTATAAATTGGTTATCCCAAGTTCCTTAAGCATTCTAAACCACACACATAAAAACACAAATTGTTGCTCTGTCTGGCACAAATTTGATCAAAAAATTATGAATTTTAGAAATCAGAATATTTTATTTTTAAACTCTTTTTTATTCCTTTGAATTTGAAAAGTCTTAAGATACGGTTTAGAAGGACACTATCCTTGTTAAAGGGTGACCCTGGAAATTTTACATGGTGCTTTGCTATTTCCAATCATTTTCACTAGTGCTCACACCAAGCCTCAGAATTCACTCACACATAATCCTCGATAGCATCTTCATATGGGGGGGTCTCACTGCAGCCTTTGTAAGCAGAAACCAAGCATCTCCTGAATATGTTTTTGCATTCACCATTTTTCTTTTCTCTTCCTTCCCACTTCCCTAACAGCTGACACAGCATTAAAGAAGTTAAGCTGTTAAAAAAAAATACTTGAGGAGTTAAAGAGGAAAAGTCACACTGCTTTGCCTGAGTACTGTGAGGACTGTTTTACCTGTTTGTGAAACTTGGGACTTTATCTTTAAAAAAAATAAATAACAGGTGCTGGGATGAAAAGCCACTGAGAAAGGCAAAGTGTCCTTCTCTCCATAGCCCTCTTGTTCCCCATGCCCGAGTGAAGGGCTCGAGAAATAAAATACAGGAATTAATTAAACACTGACTATAAGGAAGAAGCAGAAATCATCCAAATAGGCAGAGACAAACCCAAGCCAGGACCCTCTAGCCCAGTTTTTTCTTCTCATTTTGTGAGAAGAAATTAGAACCTTAAAATGTTTTCAGAATAAGATCCCAAACAGCCCAAGCCAGGAAGAGGACAGAGAACTAGGAGGAGCCCAAAGGGGTGCAGGCTTCTATGGTTGGAGGACTGGACCAGAAGGCATTGATGAGAACTCGGACAGAACATTCTAGAATTACAAGGAACAGCCAGACTGATTAATACGTGGAACCTTGGCAAGGCGAAGACAATTCTCAGTTATGTTTCCCACTCCAGGAGAATGTGCCTTCCTGTTTGAAATGGAAGAGGGTTTTGTCCCAATACGTGATGATCTCCACAGGCTGACATTCTGGTCTCGTCATCACACAGGAGTGACGTCTGAAGCTGAATTGATTAACACAGTGTTACACGATCGAAAGCTGAGGAAAGGGGCCAATGTGGAGCCACGGTGAGTTGCCAAGAACTCTGGTTCTTGCAGAGGCTGGACTACCATGTTGACTGGCCCTGGGAGATTTCTTTCTTCATCAACAGGCTCAGTTTCCTTATCTGCACAAAGTCAGACAGGGTAACCCCAAAAGTTGGTCTCCCTTCTAAATGATACTAGAAAATCCCTGTTGGCTATAAATGAACTCATCGATAACACTCATTTCCCATTTAGGCTTTCTGAGGAAGTGACTTTAGAGAACCATGCTGTACGCTCTCGTATGCACAGACACAAACAGTACTTTGCAATTTCCCGTCTATTCCTTCAGCACAATTAGGTCAACACTGTTGACCAGGGTACACTACCTCCTCCCCAACACTGGCCCAGACTCCACAATACCAAGTCACTGGGTGTGCTGTGGGTACCGCATGTCCACATATTGATCATCTTATCACACCTACTGAGAAATCCAGTAAGACTTGAAGTGCCTTACTATCAGATGATTAAATAAGGCCTACAAAAATACTCTGTATTCTTTTTTTTTTTTTTTTTTTTTCCTGAAACAGAGTCTGGCTCTGTCATCCAGGCTGGAGCGCAGTGCCATGATCTTGGTCACTGCAACCTCTACCTCCTGGTTCAAGCAATTTTCCTGCCTCAGCCACCTGAGTAGCTGGGACTACAGGCATGAACCTCATGCCTGGCTGATTTTTTGCATTTTTTAGTAGAAACAGGGTTTCACCGTGTTGCCCAGTCTGGTCTTGAACTCCTGAGCTCAGGCAATCCACTTGCCTTGGCCTCCCAAAGTGTTTAGATTACAAGTGTAAGCCACCACGCCCAGCCAAATACTCTGTATTCTTGAAAGCATTCTATTAGAACCAGGCATTTTCACTTTCTTCCACTCTACTGGCTACTCCCTCAGAGAGGGAGCATACTTTCAAAGTCCTCTCACTTCTCTCTATCCTTCCCTGTCCTAGAAGTACCAAATTTACCTCTCCAGTTGCCGTCGCCCTTGTGAAGACTGACTTCTCTGACCAATGCCTGTGGCCCTGGTGACCTGGGTTCTGCCACATTCCACTCTGGTCTATCGTGCGGTTGTTCACCCAATATCATGAACAACAGCCCTTGGAGAGGATCGATTAGGACAAACATCCTCATTTTGCAGATGAAAGAATGAAGGTTCAAAGGAATTCTTTATGTCATTCCTGTCTTGGGGAGGAAATCTTGTACTTACTTTGACTCTTCTTCGCATTTGGTATAATAAAAATAGCCACCACTTACTAAGAATTATTTATGGGCCTAACCAATGCCTTATCTGATGACTTTATTCAATTCTAACAACTCCAGAAAACATACTGCATTTTACAGGTAAGCAACTCAGACCCAGAGGGCCTAAGTAACTCATCTGAAATCACAGAGTAAAGGAGAGAGATGGGTAACCCAGCTGATCTGCAGGCCTCAGCCCAGATCTGTGCCATGCCAAAACCCATGCTTTTAATCACTCTGCCAGTACTATTCCCCGACATGCAGGGTGATGGACGGATACACAGCCGCTGATTAATTAGTGAATGCTACTGCTATTTGCCCTTTTCCCCCAAGATAAACAAAAGGCTGACCATGAGAGAGACACCAGTACACCCCCAGGAAGCCAGCCAATTCTCTGGCGATGAGTGACACTGGGAACAGTAGACTGGATGTCTCTGGGCATCTGATAGCCACTTTAAAGCACTCCAGGAGAGGTGAAGAAAAAAATCAAGGCTCCCCTCCAGTGCGATTTCTAAACCACTGATTCACCATGCAGTGCAGTGGTAATGTCAAAGAGCCCTAGCCACCACTGTTTTTGCAAAAATCCTGTACTTTGTTTTAAAAAGCACCATTTGTTAGCCCAACATTCCCCGTGGAGCCAGTTGGGAGATGACGTCTTGACAAGTTGGACTGTTTCAGGACAAAGAATACAAGCTACATCCATTCTGTTTCTTCCCCAGCCAGAATACACAGGACTAGCCATCAAGGGGAAGAAGCAAAAATGGCTCCTCTCCTCTTAAACCGAGTGAAATGGTTTGGATATTTGCCCCTTCCAAATCTCATATTGAAATTTGAGCTCCCACATTGGAGGTGGGGCCTAGTGAGAGGCGTTTTGGTTACAGGGGCAGATCCCTCACAAAAGGCTTGGTGTCCTCCTCCAAGGTAATGAGTGAGTTCACGCAAGAACTGGTTGTTAAAAAGAGCATGGCACCTCCTCCTCTCTTGCTTCCTCTCTCACCATGTGACATACCAGCTCCCCTTCCACTTGCACAATGATTGGAAGCTCCTGGAAGCCCTCACCGGAAACAGATGCTGGCCTCATTCTTCTTGTATGGCCGGTGGAATTGTAATCCAAATAAACCTTTTTGCTTTATAAATTGCCCAGCTTCAAGCATTCCTTTATGGCAATACAAACACACCTTGTATGCTTAGAGTTTTGCTTACCGGCCCTACGATTTTTGAATCTGCAGATCTGGAGGAGCTGGAGAGGAATGCTTCCTCCAGGGGACACTGCAATGGTTTCACTGAGCTAGAAGTTGAGATCTCCCCGTTGGCCGTTTTAGACTACCAAGGCCACAGAAACAAAAGGCAAAGAAGGCAATTACCCTACTGACTGGGGTGAATGATCCCAATTTCCACAGGGAAACTGGACTGTGGCCATACAGCAGGGGCAGGGAAGAGTATGACTGGTACCCGGAGAGTCTCTGGAGTGCCCCTTGGTACTTCCATGTCCAGGAGTAAATACCTATGGAAAATTAAAGCAATTCTGTATTCTCGAAAGCACTCTACTAGTACAAGGCATCTGTACTTTCTTCTACCCTGCTGGCTACCACCTCAGAGAAGGAGCAGCCCTCAAAAGTCCTCCCACGTCTCTCTATCCTTCCCTCGGCTGCCCTCGCCCTTGCAAACACTGACAGAGAGAACCACTGAGGATTTAGATCTGTAGGTTATTCTACCAAGTAATAAATAAACCTCTGCCACAGTAGGAGCTGGCTGAGGGCAAAAGCCAAGTCCCAGCAGTCACAGTTTCCATATTGGAACAATGTTAATTCCTCCTCTCATTCCACCAATCCCATCTAAATATTCTGTATCCTACCGACTGAACCAGGAAAATAATTCATGCCACCCAGAGACAGACACCATGCCAACTGGGGCTTTATGTCTCCTCTTAAGACGTGAACACTGTATCATAGGCAGAAACAAAGCTGTCCTGCTGTTGTGCCAAGCTGAAAATGTGCAGGATGACATGTGAATGCTGAGAAGCTGAAGAGTTGGACTGTGCAGGTCCTTTAGGTGCTGCCTCTCTGATCCAAGTCTGACCTGTGTGGTGGAGCTAGGACTGTGCAAACGGCATCCCCGCTTTACCAGCTGAATTTCTATTGGGTTCTGCCAGTAGGGGCTCAAGACAGAGAAGGGAGAGGGGAGCCCTAAAGTCAATATATCTTTACAGAAAGCGGGTGTGCACGTGCAAGAGTTTTAAATTATTCTTAATTATGGCATTTCCAAATTAATCGTTCACTCATTCAGTCACTCAACAAGTGTCCTCACCACCAAGGCCCTAAGGACTTAGCTGCTTAGAGAACAACGCCAAACCACGCCCTCACAGAGCTTACATTATGGTTGGAGGACATGGTAAATATCACATAAATAATAATACGATTTCAGATGATGATCAGTTCCACAAAGAAAGCAAGATAGAAAGCGGAGGTTGAAAGTGAGTTGGGGAAGGAAAGGGGCTGCTTTGAGCAAGGTGGTAAAAGAAGCCCTCTCTGAAAAGGTGGCATTTAGGCAGAGACTAAAAGGATAGGAAGGAAGAGGAAATGAGCTGGGAGACCTGGGACCCAAGGCTTCCAGGCAGAGGGGCTCCATTACCCCATCAGAGAGAAACACCCTGGGTCACATGCTATAAGAGGTATTTGGAGCAATGCCACAGTCGAAGGAGACTCACCATCGTGGGGGAAGCTGTCTGCTTGTTTCCAGCAAATCCTACAAGTCGGACATAGCTCAGTGGTTGAGTTCATGTCCTCACTCTGGCATGTGGTTATTTTTCTTTACTTTCAATTTACATCGCAAGCTGGAGAGAAATGAATTACATCCCCCTGGGTTTCTCTGTTCCATACAATTAAGAAAAGCTATTTCTTAGTCATAAGGCGGATGACGACACCAAGATTTCCCATTTTCTCTCTGCAGGGAGGCTGTCATCACTCAATATTAATTGATCCTACTTTTCATCCATAAAGCGGGGGCTGAAACAAATTTTTGGTCACAAAAACGGCAACTACTACACTATTAAGGTAAATTATTAATGGCGCCTCCATTAAGCACACTCTTGCTCACATGACATCAACTACCTCAATGCATATGGTGTCTCTTTAATGGGGAAAAAGGAGTAAATTATTAGATTTCTTCCTGAAACTGGATTAATCACCTGCACCTATTTCATTTAAGGTTGCTGGGGATTTTCCACCATTTCATCACAACTGAGAACACACAGATAGGGCCGTAATATGTCTTGAGTTCCCAGTGGGAGAGCGTGTCAATCGAATGCAATTTTATTTTTCTGCTAGAGAGCAGATACAGTGAAAACAGCAAGAAGACACAAGAAACTTCCACAAGTTGAGGAGAGCTAGTAACATTTAAATAAATATTTCCCTAGACAAAGAATTTGATGCTTTTTTTTAGAGGGGGTGGTGGTGGTGCTGAATTAGAGAAACCTAGTTTAAAAAAAGAAAAGAAAAAGGAAAAAACAATAGAGTTGTATCTACAAATAAACAACCCACAATGAATTGGGGACATATGGGAAGAGCTGAACCTCATTACTACTGACGGCAGCGACCAGATGCTGGCACCCAGGGAAGAGCAATTTTCCAATTCAAGGGAGGGCTCTGCTGCCCCCCTTCCAATTCCTTTTCATTTATTTACATGAATGCTAGGGCCTTGTGGAAGGCTAACCACAGGACATTTGCATCTCATCAATATGTTTAAATGTCACAAATCTTGACTTTCACAGCTGGAAGCCAGGCTTAGCCACTTAGAACCAGGCTGATGAATAACTGTGGTTGGTGCAGAAGGCATTTCTTAAACATATAATTTAATCCTGAGAAGCGATGAGCTCTGCTCAACAGGCCCATAGCATGAAATTAAAAAAACATGCTATGGATGTGTCTTCATGGTATCAAAGAAATGACAAAAATGGAAAAATGAACACAGTGATCATTTGCATCTAGATTAGCAGAAGAACATTGTAGGGACCACTGTTGTCAATGGCCTTTAAAGGACCAGTGCTCCCACCTTCCAGGTGCTGTGTGGTGGCTGCTAAGCACTCACAGCTGTTCCTTCCTCTGGAAAATTGCCTCCAACCAAACAGGAGCTTCCTGGTCTGGGAGTTTAAGTGGCTTGAGAGTGTTACAAAAACGATTAAGGTGACCCATTTTTTTTTTTTTTTTTTTGAGACAGAGTTTCACTTGTTACCCAGGCTGGAGTGCAATGGCGCCATCTCGGCTCACCACAACCTCCGCCTCCTGAGTTCAGGCAATTCTCCTGCCTCAGCCTCCCGAGTAGCTGGGATTACAGGCACGCGCCACCATGCCCAGCTAATTTTTTTTTGTATTTTTAGTAGAGACGGGGTTTCACCATGTTGACCAGGATGGTCTTGATCTCTTGACCTCGTGATCCACCCGCCTCGGCCTCCCAAAGTGCTGGGATTACAGGCGTGAGCCACCGCGCCCGGCCCCAATGTGACCCATTTTTAGACTCACTGTGACATAGACTGTGGCAATTAAAACCCATTTCCACCCCTTTCTAGCTAATCTTCCTGAAATATAGAGGTTTGGGGCCAAAAGCTACATTTCCTATCTCCCAGTGAGGAAACTGAGGCACAGAGAAGTTAAGCACCTTTCCCAAGGTCACACAGCTAATAAGCAGCAGAGCCAAAATTTGAAGCCAGATTGGCTCAAGAATCTGTGCTTCCAACAACTCCATGACGTTGTCTCATCCAGGAGCAAGACTTTTAACATAAACTGCCTACATGAGTTATCAATTAATATATAACAAATTACTACAAAATAGTGGCTAAAAACAACATTTCTTTTCTCACAGTTTCTGTGATTCAGGAATCCAGGTGTAGCTTATCTGGGTGCTGCTGGCTCAAAATCTTTCATGAGGAGGCTCAGGACATTGGCCAGAGCTGAAGTCATCTGAAGGCTCCACTGGGGGAAGATCCACTTCCAAGCTCATGCACATGGTTGTTGGCAAGATTCAGATTCACTTCCTCAAGGGCAATCGGGCTGAGGGCCCCAATTCCTCACTGGCTGTTCACAGGAAGCCTCCCTCAGTTCCTTGCCAAGTGGGTCTCTCCACAGGTCAGCTCACAATATGGCAACTGGTTTACCTCAGAAGGAGTAATCAAGAGAGAGGAGGAAAGCACAGATGGAAGCTAATTTTTTTCTAACAATCTCGGAAGTGATAACCAATCACTTTTGTTGTATCCTGTTCACTAGAAGCAATTCACTAGGTACACAAGACCGATGACACCAGCAGGCAGGGATCACTGGGGACCATCTTGGCAGGTGCCCACCATGCTACTCGATATCACAACACTAATAAGCAGGAAAGTTGAGCTTACAGTTGCTTTTTCATTAGGTAACTTGGCTCCCAAACCCAAGCTCTGTATACTGCTCTAACATTCCTTGCAGGTGGGAGAAGAAACTCTTGGCTGGGTCACTCCTCTGGGACACTGGTCCCCACCACTTGCCTTAAGCCGCCTCTGAAGTCACACTTTATATCCAAGAAAGTAAATGGTATGAAGCAAAAGATATTTTCTTGGATTTTAGTTGTCTTAGGCTAATTCATTAAATGAAGTCCACAATAAGAAACTACTTATAGACATGGGAGTAAGTTTTTGTTTTCATTTACAATTTCTAGATTGGCAAGAAACAGTGGTAAGAAAAGAAACAGTTGGATCAGTAGTCGAGGATATGGAAGGCCATCCAGAAAAACCTCAATGCCCTTCTCCCCGTTCCTAGTGCATCTTCCCAGCCTTATTTCAGCCCAGGCTGTTAGAAGCGGCATTGGTAACTTTTCTTTCACAAGCTTCATCTCAACCATTTCTCCCCAAGCAAGCTATAATGCACTGAAGACCTGTGAGCCCACGCAGACCTGTGAGCCCATGCCCAGGGCCGCTCAAGGCCCTCAAATCTCAGCCTGTTGGCACCAGCAGCCCTGATGAGTCCACTTACTCCCAGGAAGCTTGTTTGATTGAGGCACCTTTTCCCAAGCTGTGTTTGGTTGGTGAGCCCAAAGATTAGATTTGGTTCAGGATTTCCAGGGCCTCCTGCACTGACCAAATGGGACAAGTCTCCAGGCATGCAAGGTCCAGCAGGCCAAAGACTATTATAATAGTAAATCATGGCAGATGCTTCTCCAAGATAACATACAGACTCTATTATGCCCAAGCTGGCCTGGTTTCCAGTTATGGAAGAACAGACAGGCACCAGACTGTTAAACTCAGGACATTAAAACTCTAGAATTCGGTGGGATGTTTCAGCCACTGTTTCCTACATTGAGAGACCTCACCATCTTGTTCACCATCGCAGGCTCAATACAGAGCCTGAAAAAGAATAATCAGTAAATATTGAATGAATCAATCTTGTTGAGTAACCTTGCCAGAAAAGACTGCTTTCTCCAAAAAGAAAAGTTCACCCAACAAGCTTGCCAGCTCCCTTGGGAATATATTATTATACCTGTCTTGTGCCAAAAGCAACATGCATTCCTCATAGCACACATTGTACTCATGCTTATAAACTAATTCTGAGCTTATATTAGGGATGCCCAAGTAAAATAATCCTTTTCCTTTTTTAAGAAGGCCCAATGAGCCTGTCAAACTAATGTCTACTCCTCGTGATAAATCACGTGTATGTACCTGCAAAGTATGTTTATGCAACAGAATGGAGAACATCTCAGTGGCTGCTAACTGTAGCAGATACTCCTTGCCCAAGTAATTTTTATTTATCAGGAGACCTGACCTGTAAACAAAGAATAGCACACCTAAGACACAGAATTGCGGAAATGACCTTGAAGACTTAACGACACTGGCATGCAACTTGAGGCCAGAATCACCTTTTCACACCAGAACTGCTTTTGAAAATATTTCATAAATAAAATTCAACAGGATTCCTGTCTTCTGAAGCACTGGTGAAATCTGGTCAAACTATAAGATGACACTGGACCCAGTGAAATTAGAGAAAGCCTCTTCATAAAATTCTTTAGAGAAATATTGCTAATAATAATTAGTAGGGTGCATAGAACATTAACTGGTTTTCTTTTCTGCTTTAACCAGATTAGATAAAAATTACTATCGCTACCTCAAGGCTGCTTTTATGAATCCCTGCAGTAAAATAATTTGGTTTTGCTTTGACACATAACAGTCATCAGCAAGGAATTTCATTTTAATGAAGGCAGCTTTAGTTGCTGAAATCTACTGCTTGGGTAACACACATATGCACACGTGCGTACATGCCCCCCCCCACACACCTGAGCCCGTTTTCACACAAGACTGAATAGTGTTGCTTCTTGGTTTGGATTTACAGTCCCTGGGAAAAGAGCATGAAGAGTTTTTACATTCAGAAAGGAATGCAAAGGAATGTAAAGAATGCCTTACTTCCTTTTAAATCTAATCTTATTATTTCCATTAGTGAACATTTAACAATGATGTTAATACTAATAGCAGACTTGGTTGCCACATCAAAAGCAACAATACCAAAGATGTATATAGGAGCTTTGCTCAGAAAAACTTAAAGGTACGTCGCACACATTATCTCATTTACCTTTTGAAAATCTCTTCAAACTGCAAGAGCATATTTATCTACTTTGAACATGTTTTATGGGAACTGATTTCTTTACTACTCTTTGCATCTTCTGTTTAAAAACAGGGTCTGCTTTTAACACACCTCCCAGCCAGAACCTCAACTCATAACTCATGCCACTGATTTCCTTGCATGAATCTCAAAAACAAACACCAACCCTTAGCAATTATAGAAACCGGAAACAAAAAATGAAACACAAGTAGGAAATTAAATAACTTATCTGCACCAACAATTGCTTCTGCCTAAACCGAAATTAAATAAATACACACACACACACACACACACACACACACTCCATGAGAACTCTGCCACACAATTTATTAATGAACAGTGAAAAGAAACAGAAGCCAAAAGTGGGTCAGGAGAAACTGTTTAATCTAATAGTCTGGAAATTACATTGAAAGGAACAGATGGTTTCACAGAAGTCAATATTACCTAGAGCAGCAAGGAGCGATTTTCTAGGAAAGAAAAATGTTTCCGTACCCTACTGCATAAACTATTTTCAGCAAAGGAGGGAGTCTATATTCAGCACAGGATAAGTCCTGATATTGGCATACTTACAAAGCTGGGACTAAGTGGCAGCCATCCACACATACTCAAGCTCAGACTTGGCCTTCTGAATCTGAGCTGGAGGTCAAACTTAGCCTGACTTTAAAGCCGGGAACAACAGAAGCCAGCACTACCCTGCAGCGGGTTACTGACCAACACTCATGTTCTTGATACCTAAGGAAAGTGGTCCCCAACAGGTCATGCGGAGCATGACCTTTTAATGTGGCTCCCGACCCTCAGAGATTCTGTGCGTCCCAGGCAGCAGCAAGACACAGGGCACATGGAGTTAGAAGACCTCAGTCCAAGCTGCGGCTCTGCAAGGCAGGACCACTCTATTTGTCAGTCTCCCTATTTGTCAAACAGAATGAAAAACATCTCTAGACTTGTAAGGATTAATTGGGCTAAAATATATCAAGCTGCATTGCAAACCACACAGCATAAGACAACACTCAACCACTCAGTTGCTATTCTCATCCCCACCATCTATTATGATTCACCAAAACATACAGCCAAATTCTTTCTAGAACAGGGCTCAATCAAAAAGAGAGCCATCAAAGCCGGGGTCCTTGAATGACAGATCACAGCCAACCAATCTCAAAGCCACACCCGAGAGACCTTTGGTAATGGTCCACATTGCTTAAGAGTAAAGGATTTGAAGAAGGCAAGCCTGAGTTCTGATTCTAGCTCATCACACATTCACATGGGCACATTAGGTAACCTCACTGAGCCTTGTTTCCTCATTTGTAAAATCAGGATCCCTATAAGGAATTGACACTGAGCACCATGCATGCCACATTAGCTGTTATTACTGTTAACAGTGATTATATCAACACAAGCAGTGTCCAAGTCCACTGCTCCATCATAATACAGCATCTGTAGGGATCCCCAGAGAGGCCAGGGAGGGCGCAGGGACAGAACAGCCTTTCTGCGATGAAGATGAAGGGCTGTACCAGGAGGAGCCTCCTTCCGGGATGAGCTTAAGTTTGTGGGGATACAGAAAGTCCCACTCCACCCAACTCTGATCCTGGGGTCTCCTGCCTTATGCAGCAGTATCAAGGGCTGCTTTAAGCCCCCTTCTAGCCATCCACCTTCCCTCCTCCAGAGCTTCTGATTTTGCTCCAAGGTTTGTTGGTTTATTGTTTGTTTTGACCTACAAAAAATGCCATCGACATCAGTGACTTTATGCTCAGTTCTGTTCTAAACTGCAGGTATCATATTTAGAGAGAGGTAATAAATACCTCATTAAGGAAAGGCAAAACAAACACTTCAGAGTGCTTGAGGCTCTATCTAAAGGAACCCCATGGTGAAACCCACTTTAAACCAAGAATCCTCCTGTAATGCAAATAAGTACTCATCCCCTCCAATTCTCTCCCTTCCTTTCCATAGTTTGCTACCTTGGCCTCCCCTGTAAAGAGCCCCAATCCCACAGGGAACCTGTTGGCACCAGCAGCCAGGTATCCATCTAGCCAGCTCTCTGAGACATCACAGACTTAAGCTAAGTCTGTTGACACCTGTTCTGTAGTGTGAACTCTAGGTGGGGTGGGGACACACAGCCAAACCATGTCACCAGGACTGACTTAATTGGTCTCGTGTGCAGCTGGGCATGGGAGTTTTTTTTAACAAAGTTTTTTGAGAATCATCATGCCACTTTGTATTCTTATTTTTATTCCTATTCTTATTTTATGTCCTCCCAAATATATTCCAAGCCGCCTAAAGGAAATAAGTTATGATTTGGTTATAATATATAGATAGGTAAGTCAATATTTACAGAATTTATTTTATACTCAAAAAAAATCACACTAGTATGATTTTTTCTGCCACCTCCACTCAAATTAAGAAACAAAATTGTACTCCACATGGTCTTTTAAGGTTCTCCAAGTGCAGTCCTCAGACCAGCGGCATCAGCCTGGGAACTTATTACAAAAGCAGACTCTCAGGCCTTGCCCCAGACCTACTAAATCAGAACCTTTGAGGCTGAGGCCCAGGACTCTGCGTTTTGACAAGCCCTCCAGACGATTCTGATTCATTCTCAAGGTTGAGAACCACTCCTTTAAAGTAATGATTAGTTTTAAAGGCTTTTTTAGAGATTGACATAGTTTTGGATGAGGCCATGGAAATGGCCTGTCATCTCCCTTCATGAAATCAGAAAGGCTAACAGTGCCAGGATTTATAACTAGCCATTAGGCACCCCAACACTTAGCTCCCCACAACTTTCACTTCCTAATTTTCAGAATATAATGGAAATCCCAATCCATTGTTTTAGATGAGTCTTTTTTCCAGTCATGAGGGGAGACTGAAGGGACAACTATATAAACAACGATTATCAGCTGCTTCTGTAGTTGTGCGTTGGGCTAACGTGACCCAGACCGGAGGTCAAAGAAAAACTGGACCTGTAGCAAATTTATCTCGCGTTGTGCATGTCTTGAATAAGGAATGTCATCCTGTTATTACCATGACCACCCAAAATTTATATACAGAGTGTAAGGCTAGAATGCTGGTGGCCGAAATCCAAGCATGAGCCTGGTCAGCACTATGTCGACGAAAACATCCCCTTGTTCAGTTCTCGAAGTCCCCTTAGACAGGAAAACCACAAAGATGGGAATTCGTAAAATGCAGCAGCGTGGGCTGATCCTCGGAATTGTAAGGCGTGTCGTGGGAATGTCTTATCAGGAGGGGACTTAAGAATAGAAATAGAAGACAAGCTTGAGAAAAAGGCAAAGGTGAATCAGTTACCTTTGAACTTTTTCATGTTGAAGGCCTTCCATTTAGTTTCAACCCACCACAGCACACAGAAGAGCCAGGAAACCAAGAAAGCCAAAGTGAAAGCTTTGCTGTTTGGTGAGACTGCAAGATATCCTGCCAAGCTCCAGCAGCTTGGGGACCTAGAGCAAGTTACTTTTATAACTGCTCCAAACTCAGTATCTCAATTTAATCTTTTATACCATGGGGGTGACTCCACCCACCTCTTAAGATTGTTGTTAGTTTGTTTAGAAGAGATTAGTACAACAGTAGGTGCTGATTAAAAAGTAACTCTGATTATTACCTATGAAAATTGAGACCGGGTGTGGTGGCTCATGCCTGTAATCCAGCACTTTGGGAGGCTAAGGTGGGCAGTTCACGAGGTCAGGAATTTGAGACCAGCCTGGCCAATATGGTGAAACCCTATCTCCACTACTACTAAAAAAAACAAAAAATTAGCCGGGTGTGATGGTGTGTGCCTGTAGTCCCAGCTACTTAGGAGGCAGAGGCAGGAGAATCACTTGAGCCCAGGAAGCGGAGGTTGCAGTGAGCTGAGATTGCACCATTGCACTCCAGTCTGGGTGACAGAGCAAGACTCCATCTCAAAGAAAAAAAAAAAGGAAGCTACCCACTCTCATACATTGTTGTTGGAAAAGTAAAATAGTATAACCACTTCAGAAAACAGCTAAGCAATGTCTTATAAAGGTAAACATATATCTACCATGCAACCCAACAATTTCACTTCTACATATTTCCCCAGTGGAAGTGAAAACATCCACACAAAACGCTTGTGCATGGATATTTACAGTTTTGTTTTTTTTCATAATAGCCTCAAACTGGAAATTTCCCAAATGTTCAACAGGAGAGTGATCCAACCAACTGTGGCATATGCAAATAAGGAAATATTACTCAGAAATGAAAAGGAATGAAATCTTGATACATACAAGCAAAAACTCAATACACACAACAAGCATGGATTGAACGGCAAAGGCATTAGGTGAGTTCAAGAAGCCAGACAAAGAAACACACACACCATATGATTCTATGTACATATTATTCAAAAAGAAGCAAAACTGTTCCACAGTGACACACAGCGTATCAGCAGTTGCCTGGGTCAGGGGGAGGCACCTGAGGGAACTTTCCGGGGTGATGGAAAAGTTCTGTATCTTGAGTATGGTGGTATTTCTACAGATGTTCACACTTATCAGAACTCATCACCCCAGACACTTCATATGGGTGTGTTTCATTGGATTTAAATTATAATTCAATAAAGTTATTCAAACAGATATCATGGAGACACCCTTCAGTGGACTGGCAGTTGGCACTGAGCTCTCTTTCATGTGCAGTGGATAAGCTTTGAGTGGCGAGAGCTGAAACATTCTGGTCCCACTTACTATTTATTACCTGTCAAATCAATTTCTTTATCTCAAAAGAAAAGAAAAATAATACCTTCCCTCCAGCTCTCAGGGATACTTGAGTTATCATGTGAGAGCATTATTGGAAAATGCTTTAAAGCAGACTCCGCATCTGGCTGTGGGGCCCTTGTGCCATCCACCCAGGTGCCCAGCGAACCCACATCCTCCTCTGCTTCCTGCTCTCCTTCACCTGCCAGGCAGTCCCCAGGACCACCTCCTAATCTCTCTTGCTCCCACCCTTTCCTTGTCCCCACTGCCACTGTCTTGACTGAGGCCACCTTTACCTTACCTGATGACTGCAATGGTTTCTATATGGTTTCCTCTACCCCAGCGTTGCCTCTTCCACCCTTCTTCATTCTAAATCCAGAGAAATCTTTCCAGAATGAGAATTTGATATCACCCGCACCCCCTCCATCTTAAAAACCTTCACCACTTTTGAGCCTAGACTCCTCAGCCCAACACCTAAGGCCTTTCATCATCTAGTGCTACTTTCTTCTCCCGCAAAGAACATGCTCCAACCAAACTCAACTGCCTGCAGCTCCCCACATGTGCAGTGTTATTTCTGCGTTTTGGTCCCTCCCACAAGTTGTCCCCTCTTCATGAAAAGATTATCTTCTACCACCCTCTTCTCCCATCTTTTGCCTGACTAACAGCCAACTCTCCCTGGCACCAAATGTGCAAAAAACTCCAAATCCATCTGAGGACTTCAAGCCGTCCTTGACACACAGACTCCTCCATCAAGCCTGGGTTGCCACCATCCCATCTGCCTCTATCACTCTAGCATCCAGTACTGGTTCTTCATTTCTAAGAGAGTTTGAACCAACCCAAAGTACCAATCTATGGTCTGATACTATGGACTGAATTGTGTCCTTCCCAATCATATGTTGAAGCCCTAGCCCCTAAAGTGACTACATTTGGAGTAAGAAAGTAATGAAGGTCAAGTCGTGTCATAAAGATGGGGCACTAATCTGATGGGATTAGTGTCCTTACAAGGTAAGACACAAGAGAGCTTGTGCTCACTCCTCTTTTCTCTCTCCCTTTCCCTGTCTTCTCCCCAACCCCCGTCTTCCCTCCTTCCCTCTCTGCCATGTGAGGACACATGCGAAGGCTATTGTCTGTAAGCCAAGAGAGCCCTGAACAGAACCCAACCATGCTGGCACCCTGATCTCCAGGGTAGCAACTTCCAGCATCCAGAACTATGAGGAAACAAGCATCTGTTGTTTAAGCCAGTCTCTGGTATTTCATTACAGCAGCCTGAACTGACTATGGCAACCCAGGAACAACTCCTGTCTGGCTTACCCACATGTCCCCAAGACAGGGCACCTGGCCCAAGGTTGACCTTCAATAAATATTTGTGAAATCAATGAGTCATCCTCCTATGGTCACTAGGAACCCAAGGAAAATCTTCATGATAAATGGTATATTGTTATGAGTTAGAGGCACAGATTCTGACCTGAAACAGAGTTTTCCTCTCTGAAAACAGACTAGAACAGTGCTATCCTATTGAACTTCAGTGATGACAAAAATATTCTCTATCTGCACTGTCCAGTAGCAGTCACCAGCCACACATGACTGCTGAGCACTTGAAATGTGGCTAATGTGACAGAAAAACTGAATTCTTTCTTTTGTTTTAATTAATGATTACATATAAATACCATGTAACTGATGGCTCCTATACTGGCCAGTGCAGAAGTGGACAGTTCAAGGAAGGCCCAAGCCCTGGGCACTGGCCTCATTACCCAGATTGCTCGCTGTGCCAACTGTCCCTGGCACCAAATGTACATAAAACACTGTTGATTTTCACAGAGCTGACACAGGTAGCTTTCAAGTGGTGTTAGAGTGGCCTGGCACAGAGAGGCTGGCAAAACACACACATAAAAGGCATAATGAGGGACCATTTTGCAGAAATTGTGATGCTTTATGGGCCTCCGTCTGCGATGAAACCCATTGAAGGGCAGGTTCATCCCTCGGTGACCAGAGTTAATTGAAAATTTAAGACCCAATCAAATCACCCAGAATTGAGATTTTTGGCAGCTTATGTGCTTCCCTGTAAGATTCCTGCTGCTTTTGCCTCTGCCAACCCCACAAGTGAGGCTGCACGTTCCAGTATCTTGCCCAACAACACCAAGCTTTAAGCAAGGGACAAGCTCAACAGTGTTAACCGTGATCCTGACTTTCTTGAAAATGCACATAGTGCCCTTCCTCCCTAAGCCATCAGGTGGACATGGGCCAACACCCTTTCCCTGACTAATATTTGCCTAAGAGTAAGTAAGCACCTTCTCCATGAAAAATCAACGTATAGAGTGTCATTTAAAAATCTGCTACGGCCAAAACCTTATGGAAGAGGAATCTTCTTCTACTCTTCTACATGATAATAAGTTTTCTAACAACAACATTCCAGTTGGTGTTAATGCCCATTTGCCTAGCATCTTGGAGGCTGGCATAACAAGAGCTTTGATACCCAAAATTCTAGAATTCCATATTCAAATTCTTCCCCCAGCCACTTCCTAGCACTGGCTCTTTGGGCAAGTTACTTAACCTCTCTGAGTATCCATTTCCTCATCTGCAAAAAGAAATGTGTGTATCCACCTGCCTCACTGGGTTACTGCAAACATAAAATGACAGAAGAAGCCACACAAAGAGGAATGTTCACAGCAACTTAACCTGAGACAACCAAAAGCTGGAAATGACCCAAATGTTTATCAACAGATGAATGGAAAAACAAACTGTGCTACAACCAAACAACAGGACACTACTCAGCAGGAAGACGGAAAACACACCAAGCAACGCAAATCAATCTTTAATGAGTAAGCTGAGTGAATGAAAAGAGCCGGGTTTTGAGAAAAGAGTACATACTATTTGATTCCATTTATATAACATTCTGGGAAATAAAATCAGTGATGGAGTCCGGGTGGGGTGACTCACACCTGTAATCCCAGCATTTTGGGAAGCCAAGGAAGGCGGATCACCTGAGGTCAGGAGTTCAAGACCAGTCTGGCCAACATGTGAAACCCCGTCTCTACTAAAACTACAAAAATTAGCTGGGTGTGGTGGCAGGCACCTGGAATCCCACCTACTCTGGGGGCTGAGGCACAAGAATCACTTGAACCCAGGAGGTGAAGATTGCAGTGAGCCGAGATTGTGCCACTGTACTCCAGCCTGGACAACAGAGCAAGACTTCATCTCAAAAAAAGAAAAAAAAAATCAGCGATGGAGAGCATATTAGTGGCTGTCTGGGGTTGGAGGGATAACAAAGGGTCGTGAGGAAACTTCTGGGGCAATGGAAATGTTCTGCATCTTGATGCAGTGAGGTGTTATGGGTTTTAGCACTTTAAATATGTGCAATATATGTGTAATATAGTGTACTTCATTTATACTTTGATAAATCTGGAAAATTTCAGAAACATGAGATCAGGCCGGCTCAGCGGCTCATGCTTTTAATCCCAGCACTTTGGGAGGCCATGGTGGGTGGATCACTTGAGGTCAGGAGTTTGAGACTGGTCTGGCCAACACGGTGAAAACCGTCTCTACTAAAAATACCAAAATTAGCCAGGTGTAGTGGAACACGCTTGGAATCCCAGATACTGAAGAGGCTGAGGTATGAGAATGGCCTGAACCCGGGAGGCAGAGGTTGCAGTGAGCTGAGATTGCACCATTGCACTCCACAGCAAGACTCTGTCTCAAAAAAACAAAGAAAGAAAGGACAATGAGGTAAGGATGTAGTGTCCTATCATAGGACTGGGCACATAGCAGGCACTCAACAAACGTCAGCTCCATTCTGGAGAATAAAGAATAATCTCATCAGAACTCCTGGGAGAAAAACACAAGAGACTGCCAGGGAAAGGAGTCAGCATTTACTTCTAGGTTTACTAGGACCCAACTATGCAGGACAGGCTCATCCCAGCTAGAAAGCCGAACAAGGAAGAAAAACAGCAAGATAAACAAGGCTTGGTCCTTGCCCTAAGGGAAACACAAATAGGTTTAATATATGATGTAATCAAAGTGTCAAAAGGACGGTATTGACAAACTACAGGCGTGCGCAAGAGAGTAATTCTAATAGAACGGTTGTCAAGAAGGAGCAATTCCAGGTGGGTGGGGTTCTGGCAAGCAGTAAGAGGTGGGAGCCTGTGCAGAAAGAGCTGCCTGCACTGAATGGGAAAGCAGAGAAAGGAGGGTGCTGGGCGGGGGCAGCGGGCAACGCCATAGCACGGTGTCCTCTGGGGAGCAATAGGGAGAGGATGTGCGAAGGGCAAAACCAAGCTACGGAAAGCCCTGAGCTCTGGCTTGAACCTCAACTTCATCCATCTGGGGGAACCCCCTAAGGAGTTGTGCAGAATCAAATGTGGTTTATACAAGCAGGTCCTCTCTACAGGGCAGCTTGGCAATTTTTCAAGAGTGCCGACATTCGCATCCCTCAATTCAGTAATTCCTGAGGAAATAGAAATGTGTACAAAGATTTATGGACAACATTGCTTATCACAACATTATTTGTAATAGCCCAAAGCCCAAAATAACTTAAATGTCCAATAAAAGGGGACTGCTAAATAAATTATGGTACACTGAGTGATTAAATCATATATAGCCATTAAATCATACTTTCTGAGCATAGGGATGACAGGGTGCACACCTCAGTGTACAACGCTAAGTTGCAAAAAAGCAGGATGCAAAAATATATGGTGAGAATTCATTCAGCAAATATTTACTGATTATCTATTAAGTGTCAGGCCCTGTCCCAAGCACTGAGGAAACAGGAGAGAATAAAAGAGAGAAAATCTCTGCACTCACGGGAAGGGATTCTATCTTCCAATGAAGGAAGGCAGACAACAAAGAGGAAAGAAATAGCAATCAGCAAGATATACAGCAGGTTACATGGGGAGAAGTGTGATGGAGAAAATCAAGAGGGGAGAGACACGGGGAATCGGGGAGAAGGTAGAAATTTTAAAGAGATGGTCAAGAAAACTTTCAAGGAGAAGGGGGTTAAGAAGATGAGCAAGGGGATCCTTGGGGAAGGCATCCAGGCAGAGGAACAGGCAGTGCAAAAGCCCAGAGGAGGCCTGGTAGTTCACGTAAGAACAAGGCCAAAGCAGCAGAACACCAAAGACAATGAGAGAATGCGGTCAAGGGGAGCTGTGCGACTCCCAGTGTGGTGGGAGCCACAGCAGAGATCTGAGCAGAGGAATGGCAGGACCAGTAGAAGAGGAGGGAAGGAGCTGGGAGGCCACATGGGATGTCCCCCAAGTGCTGTCCTAGCTCATTATAATGGGTACATGTTTATTTCATCATCAGAAAGCAAAGATAATTCCATCAAGGACAGCACAATGCACGAAAGCAGTTCGGATGCTGCGGCTGAAGCTCAGGGAAACAAACAAATAAGGAGGTCAGGGAAATCATTCAGAGATCAGCTATGAAGCAGCAGGAAGGCAGAGCACCACACAGAATCCTCATGTGTCTTCACGTGTCCATGAAGGTTCTTGGGAGTAAACTTACTCTTCGTAATAATGCAAGACACATAACCACGATGCAAAAAAAAAAAAACCTGCAAAAGGGAGAAAAAAGAATTCTCCCATCATCTCAGCATCCTAACAATACTTAACATCTTGGTATACTTCCTTCCAATTCTTTCTCCTAGAAAGGATTGTTTTTTCCCCTAATCCTCCCACAATGTCCAGCACGCTATATGCACTCAAATATTCACTGAACAAATAAATGGAGGACCGAATGCATAACCAGCTTCTCTACATAATTGTGTGTTATGTTAGCTATAGGAGAGGCATTTACAGACTTGGTTTTAATAGGCTTGGGTGAAGGAACGGCAGCTGCACGCAGAGAGAAGGCATGGTCATGGGTGTCCACACATTTAAGATGGTGGTGGTGGCATAACTGACTCATCAAGGGCACCGGAAGGAAGCAATCGGAAAAGGAAGATGCTGGGTTCAGTTTTGGTGACTTCTTGGGGGAAATGCACAGAATATCCCTGAAGAGACACTCAGTTGTCCTCTCTCAGGGCTCAAGAAGCAGTTGAAGCCTCAGCACAGAGACAGTCACAGCAGAATGAGTAGCCGAGGAGGAAAGGAGGAAGAAAAACACGTGCAGACATGCCAGACACTGTGCTAGAGCTTCGCACATCTCTACCCCTTCCAATATTCACAACCGCCCCGCAACATGGACACCCGTGTTCCTCTCTACCCCTTCCAATATTCACAACTGCCCGCAACATGGACACCCGTGTTCCTCTCTACCCCTTCCAATATTCACAACTGCCCGCAACATGGACACCCGTGTTCCTCTCTACCCCTTCCAATATTCACAACTGCCCGCAACATGGACACCCGTGTTCCTCTCTACCCCTTCCAATATTCACAACTGCCCGCAACATGGACACCCGTGTTCCTCTCTACCCCTTACAATATTCACAACTGCCCGCAACCTGGACACCCGTGTTCCTCTCTACCCCTTCCAATATTCACAACTGCCCGCAACATGGACACCCGTGTTCCTCTCTACCCCTTCCAATATTCACAACCGCCCCGCAACATGGACACCCGTGTTCCTCTCTACCCCTTCCAATATTCACAACTGCCCGCAACATGGACACCCGTGTTCCTCTCTACCCCTTCCAATATTCACAACTGCCCGCAACATGGACACCCGTGTTCCTCTCTACCCCTTCCAATATTCACAACTGCCCGCAACATGGACACCCGTGTTCCTCTCTACCCCTCCAATATTCACAACTGCCCGCAACATGGACACCCGTGTTCCTCTCTACCCCTTCCAATATTCACAACTGCCCGCAACATGGACACCCGTGTTCCTCTCTACCCCTTCCAATATTCACAACTGCCCGCAACATGGACACCCGTGTTCCTCTCTACCCCTTCCAATATTCACAACTGCCCGCAACATGGACACCCGTGTTCCTCTCTACCCCTTCCAATATTCACAACCGCCCCGCAACATGGACACCCGTGTTCCTCTCTACCCCTTCCAATATTCACAACTGCCCGCAACATGGACACCCGTGTTCCTCTCTACCCCTTCCAATATTCACAACTGCCCGCAACATGGACACCCGTGTTCCTCTCTACCCCTTCCAATATTCACAACTGCCCGCAACATGGACACCCGTGTTCCTCTCTACCCCTTCCAATATTCACAACTGCCCGCAACATGGACACCCGTGTTCCTCTCTACCCCTTCCAATATTCACAACTGCCCGCAACATGGACACCCGTGTTCCTCTCTACCCCTTCCAATATTCACAACTGCCCGCAACATGGACACCCGTGTTCCTCTCTACCCCTTCCAATATTCACAACCGCCCCGCAACATGGACACCCGTGTTCCTCTCTACCCCTTCCAATATACACAACCGCCCCGCAACATGGACACCCGTGTTCCTCTCTACCCCTTCCAATATTCACAACCGCCCCGCAACATGGACACCCGTGTTCCTCTCATACATGAGGGCACTACAGGCCAGCAAAGCTCAGTGATTTACCCAGTTACTCTGAAGCAGAACCAGGACTCAAATCCATGAACATGAAGGCTTTTCCCACTCATTCTCCTTTCTGCTCATAGAAGCTTAAAGAATACCCAGAATCCCAGGGAGAAAATGTGTTCAGATGAATTTATTACATAGTACCCAGTTTTTGCTCTCAAACTCCTGGGACCCAAAAAAGAAGAGCATGTTCTTCCTCTTCCAAAAACATGCCTTTGTGTTTTCTAACTTGTGATTAAAACCTGTTGCATTCCTCTTTCTTTTTTTTTCATTTGTATGAGTCTTCTGTCTACCACCAAATAGAACACTCCAAGATGGCAGGACACACGCCTCACAACCTCCCCCAACACTGGCCCAACACTCCACACACAGCAGGTGCTCAGCAAATGCTCTGATGCTGATGCTGACCATCCCTTGACAGTCTTCCTGGGCTATTCCCTGTTTCCTTAGTCCTTGGACATTCGTATGGTAGGTGACCTGACTCCCTCTGGCTTAGCTGAGGCAAGGCCAAGCCCAGATGAAGGAGTCCTCTTGCAAGAGAGCAGACAACAGGCAGGTGAGTTTGGGTGGAAAGGCAGATGGGCAGATTCATACGAGGAGAGAAGGTAAACCTTCCCTCTCCATGGGGCTTGCTATAAAACAGTCTGCAAACTGGTTGGCTCATGGATCAAATTTAGCTTATCCATGTGTATTGCTTGGTTCACATGATTTTCATTTGTCAAAATGTAACTAGTTGCTTTTTTTTTTTTTTTTTTTTTGAGACAGTCTTGCTCTATTGCATCCAGGCTGGAGTGCAGTGGTGCCATCTTGGCTCATTGCAACCTCTGCCTCCTGGGTTCAAGTGATTCTCCTGCCTGAGCCTCTTGAGTAGCTGGGATTACAGACGCCCACCACCATGCCCAGCTAATTTCTTGTATTTTTAGTAGAGTCAGAGTTTCATCATGTTGGTCAGGCTGGTCTTGAACTCCTGACCTTAGTTGATCCACCTGCCTTGGCCTCCCAAAGTACTGGAGTTACAGGTGTGAGCCTCCACACCTGGCCATTATTTTTCAAAAAGTGAGAGATTTCACATAAAAATCTGAATCTCTATAAGCTGCCCCCTTGAGACAGGCCTGCCCTTTTCACTTCTTCACAGCCCCACCCATTCCAGCTCTCCAACTGCACCTCATCCCCTGCAGGCCCCTTCTGGAGACCCTGCCTGCCCCTGTCCACACGTACCCTGTGTACTCACCGGCACTCAGAGTCGTGAACTCCAGGAAACGGTATTCATAGGACACATCTATCTTGGTTTCCACCTGAGGCCTCTTCAAAGTTGAATAAATATTCCCGGGCCGTTTTTCATCACGTTTCTCTAACTTGTTCAATCCGCAACCCATTTCAGCAGCTGCTGGCCAAAGAAAAAGGTGGGGAGGTGATTTTTTTCCTGAGATTTTGTCTTTAAACACCCTAGTATAACAGAACCCATAATTCTCCTGAAGAATACATGACAGACCTCAGCCTTTATGAAACTCAGAGTATAATTTAATATATGACCTGAACACAGACGACTGTGCTCCGTACCCAGGCTGACTTCTGCTAAGATACTATTACCAGTCATCCTGAGATTCTTTTTTTAAGATGACATCAAAAGCATACCTGTTTTATATCTCTTTTTCCCCATCTGAGGAAAATAATACCTCCCACTGCCTCAGTTCCACTATAATCTGTATCCATGAATAAAAAATGGGATCTAAAAAGCAATATGGTGCATTATAGTGTCAACCCATCTATAAAAAAACAAGAGCTGTGTCACCTTCACTGTGGTTGCTAAGACCGAATAAGTTGTTGTTACAATTTCCAAACTCCAAGTCCTTTCTACCCTCAACAGTAATTATTTAGACAGGAAATTTATATTCATAAAACATCTCTAAAAGTAGATGGTAGTGTTTTTATGGGCCTTGTCTAAAAGTCCCCCTTTTTCTTCTTTTATAGACCAAACTGCAGGAAATAATAGTACGCATCCATGCTCTTAGAGCGTCATTTTAGACCAAAATGAAAACTGACTGAACACTAATAGCAGGGATAGAGCAATTGGAAGCAGAAATCCACGTGTATTAGAGCAAAGATCTGTAGTTAGAGTTTGAAAAGAAAATAAAGAACGTTAAAGTAATGTGCACATTAAAGTGAGCCCAGTTTCCAATCGTTCATGGGATTAAAAACAATGGAGGCTCTCTGTTTATTTGGGCAGAATGGCTTTCATTAAATAGCTTTTGATCCACTCCCCCAACTCCAGCAGAAGATATTTCCCTCTGTGTACTAAGCGTAAATGATGTTTCCCTCCTCTCTGGGGTACCACTGCTGCCATCAGAATGTATTTCACAAAAATATTAACCAGCCAAGAATATCACACACAGAAACACAGTGACCACTTCCTTTTAGAGATAAGAGTTTCCTTTTGCTTAATTCGTTTACAAGATACCCAGCTTCCTAAGGCAATTTGGCAAGCTCCAGAAAAATAAACTGAGCCTCAAAAAAGCAACGAGGGCATGGGACGGGCAGAGTGGAAGGAGGTGGTGTAACGGCAGCCAGGCTCTACTTTTCAGTCATTGAAAAAAGTCTGAAAGAATGGATGAGAACAGGAAGGCTTACTTATGCCTTAATAAGGGAACATTAGTATCCAAAGGGCCAGAGCAGACATGATTTATGTGCAATCTGTATGAACTGATTACTCGTAAAATACTCTGTAGCTCTGCAGATAAAACAGCTGATATGTAAAGGGCTGCATATTGAACTGCTGAAAAGCAAACCGGCTGGCATCCATGGGGCAAAGCAAACCGGCTGGCATCCATGGGGCAAAGCAAACTGGCTGGCATCCACGGGGCAATGCAAACTGGCTGGCATTCACGGGGCAAAGCAAACCGGCTGGCATCCACGGGGCAATGCAGAAGAGAAATGAACAAGGAAGCTTCTAAGTGCTGGGAACAGGTAACCTGGCGAGATGGGCACCATTACCACTAGAACGGAACTGCAAAGAGCCCAAAGTCTCGCCAAATCACTCATTCATGCAGATTTACTCGTGCCTACGACGGGCAAAGCATTATCAGCGATTCAGACAGTGTGGTCTTGTACTAGGCTAACCTCAAGGAGGTTAGGGGCCTAGAGAGGGTATTTGGGATGGGCTTTGCTGGACAGACTCCAAATGTGAGGATGCAGAGATGGAGGCACAGCAAGAGCAAAGGCACGAAGCTGCCCCATCTGAAGGGAAAGGGCAGGCAGCGCAGTTTGGAGAGGCAGCGTAGGGTTTCGGGTATCGAAGACCTGGACCCACCCCTAGCCCACATGGTGCCTTCGGGAGAATTAGAAAGAGGCACCCCCTCCTCTGAGGAATGCAGCCCTGTCCTAGCCATGCCTTACTATGCACAGCAAGATCTAGATCTAAGCCCCTGTCCTGACCCGCCGGGGTCAATCTTTATAACTGTCTGTGGCAGTGCTGCTTCCGAAGGGGGGAAGTTGAGCAAAATTGATTATGATTAGCTAGCCATATAAATAATTATGGAAATGGAGGCGAAGCTTTCTTAAAGAGGACCCCTAACTACAAAAGAAAATTTTGATAAAGTGGGCTATATTAAGATTTAAAAATTTTGTTCCTCAAAACGTACATTAAAGAGTGAAAAGGCAATCCAGAGACTGAAATAAGCTATTTGCAATACATTTGTCAAGTGGTGCACTGGTAAACCAGCTCTCCAAGAAAGAGAGGAAGCCCCGGTTTGTAGTTTGCCAATTTCTGTGGTGTAAACACACCCACCATGGCAGATTTCAAGCTGCCAAGCATGATGCTACCAAGGCAGAGTCAGGAAGAGATGCTAAAATCAGCTCTCAAAGGCCAGCATGTGTTGGCTCCTGCACACTAAGGCATTCATACAACGAAGGGCTCACATCCACCATGAACCAGAGGACGCCTAACAAATTGATAAGGAAAAGATACACTACCCAACAGGTGAAATGCAGACAGGTGAAATGCCTCAACAAATACCCATGAGGATGTGCAGATGGCTAAGGAACATATGAGAAGCTCAGCTTCATGACTCATCAGGGAAGTGAAGGGAAGACCACAGTGAGATTTAAGGCATCTACCAGAAGAGCTCAACATTTTAAAAACTGATAATACCAAGTGTTGGCAAGTATAAGAAGCAAATGAAATTCCCCTACACTGATGGTGAGAGTGTAAATTGGTACAAACCACCTTGGAAATCTGACAATATGTTGGAAAGCTGAATGTACACCTATCCTGTGACCCAGCACTTCCTATCCTGGGTATATACCAACAGAAATGTATACACATGGGCATCAAGAGATATGTACCAGAATGCTAATAGTAGTGCTATTCACACTGGCAGCATCCTGGAAACTGCCCAAACCCCTTCCAGGAAAATAGATAAATACATTGTGGTACTTTCACACAATGAAATATCATGAAGCAATGAAAACACGGAAACTAAGCTTCCACACTAATGAAGCTCAAAAATAAAAAGGGAGGAGGAGTGGGGCAGTCAGACACAAAGAGTTACATTCTTTCTTACTCCCTTTATACAGTTCCAAAACAGGCCACACTCATCTCCAGTGTTAGAAGCTGGGGTGCCGGTTACCCTTGGGAGAACAGTGACTGCATAGGAGGATGAGGGGGCTTCTGGGGAGCCAGCTTTGCTATTTCTTGATCTGCGTGCCAGTTACACTGGTGTGTTCAGTTTGTGATGATTCGCTGGGCCACTGAGCAGTCCCCATATTGAACTGTGTGATACTAAAAGGTTCAAAAATAATAAACAAATCTGTGACCTTACAAATGCACAGATACATCTCCAACAATAACGTTAGGATGGAATAAAGGCAAAACACAAAATCATGTACGTACTGGGTGTCAACTCCAGAATAAAAGCTGAAGCAACATTTACAGCAGTCCTGTTCATCTGATGCTAGCTCATCCAATAAAGCCACTTGTGTACACACTACAGAGTTCTGAAAAGGAGAAAGGACTCTTCTCTCTATCAGGCTGGTGGCAGGTTCTAAAGGGTGGCAGCAGGGCCCTGCTGGTGACTCTGACGGGAGCAAGGCTGAGTGAGGCATGGGTAGGCTGGCAAGCAGGGGAAGGCACTCACGCCCACCCTGCTGCATTACTCAGGTAGAGCTGCTTCACTCTGAAAGGCAGGGTGTTTGAAAGAAGGAACTTCTTCCTCAAAATCCTCCCACTTTTGCTACCTTATTATGTAAATTCTAGTATTACAGGTTCATTCCTTTGAAATCAGAATTACCTTTCCTAAGTATCTCCTTTGAAATGGCAAATCGCTCCATGGGAAGGACAACAAACAAAGCTCCTGGTAGCCACCACCACTTCAGTATGATTTTATTTTGTCCATTATTTTTAATTTAAATTTAATTTCTTTGATAAAGGACAGCTTCCCTGATAGCAGAAAGAAGAGGGTTACCAGGATGAGAAGAAAGATTTGGAAAGGATTGGGGTGGGGATCAGGAGAGTACCAAGAAGCATCAGAAAACTCTTGTGATTCATAACTTTTGAGTTTAAAGTTTCAATCAGACTGTCCCAACCTTGAGGCTTCTGCCCCAGCTCATCCCAAAGGGCACTGTGCTTGATATCACAGGACATAAAGGGGCTCTGAGAAAATCATCCATATGATCAGACACAGAAAAGATAAACAGTATGTGAAACCAAATTTGGCTTGAGGATGCGCCTCCAAACTTGAGTTATTACATAAGGCATTGCCACTTAGTTTAGTAGGTAACCTAAGTGAAAGTCTAACTTAGGATGTATAGTATGTAACAAATAGCTGAGTCTTAGCCAATCACAGCAGCAGAGATGCAGTCAATCACAGGCCGCGAACTAATGTAACCAAGCCCGCTGTCTCTGTACCTCACTTCTCTTTTCTGTACACCAAACACTGCCAGGATGTATTTCAGACAGGTCACTGAATGTGTTCTGGTTTTGAGGCTGCCCAATTTACAAATTTTTCTTTGCTCATTCAAACTGTTAGATTTAATTTGTATCAAGTTTTTATTTAAAGCAGCCAGCAGCAAAACTGTAATATCATTGAATCCTTGGGTCTCATGTTTTAGAGACTGATTTCTCTGGAGTGCATGCAACCCTGGTTAAGCAACTGTTCTGAAAGCACAGCCCTCTCTGGACAGGGAGACACAGGAAGTTGTTGCTGGCCATCAAAACCTTAGTGTGAATGTGCCTCTCCTACACTTTTGTGTAGAGGCAGCTACCCTGCTCTCTGCTGCCACACCTGCATTCCTTTTATTTCTCCCTGGATTCTTCCACCAAATCCTACCTGTCAAAATAGGAAAGACTTTTACATCATTCCAAAAATGTCTATACTATGCTCAAACCCAGTCAGAAAAATCTAGCTTACAAAAAGTAGGAAAAACAAGGTGTAACAGCGCCTTGCACATGATCGCAGAGTTTTGTAGACTGTACTATTTACCATGTGACGTTCCCAAACCACGCTCACATTAGAATCCTACAAGAGGATGGAGACAACAGATAGGTATGTTGCTTTTGAAGGCAGTGGGAGGGAAGGCAGAGGGAAGGGTCTAAGGAATAGCTCTGCCAGAGGCAGGTAGAAGACACGGATGTGCTGCACATTCCTTCACACAGACATTCAGGGAGTGTCTCGGTAGAAGGGTCTCTCTCACATGGGTCAAAGTCTCTGGCAAGGTAGAAGGTAAATGATAAGTAGGATGGTTTTTAAATGCGCCTCCAAAATCCACTGACACTCCTATTGAGCCTATGAGAAGTGGGGTCTATGTCAATTCCCCTGCATTTGGGCTCCATGACTATTTGACCAATAGAATATGTGAATAACACAGTTCCAGTTTCTGGACCCATCCTTAAGAAACAGAGTATTCACGCCCTGACTCTTGGGATGCCTACTCTTGAAATCCAGCTACCATACCATGAGAAAGCTCAAGTAGCCCAAAGAAGGGCCCATGTGGAGAGGAACCGACAGCCAGAACCAACTTGCTGGCCATCTTGCCAGCAAGCCATGTTGGAAGCACATCTCTGCCTAAGTCAAGCTGCTGATGCCATGCTAAGCAAAGACAAGCTGTTTCACCAAGCCCGACCAAAGCTGCAGATTCCTGAGCAAAATAAGCTACCACTGTTGTTTTAAGCCTCTAAGTTTTGGAGTGGTTCATTTATACCGTAAGCAACTTATACACTAAGTCTGCTCAAAATGACCATGGCCTGACACCTTCTTGGCACCTGCTGAAGTTGGCCTGGTTTTATGGTTCCTGTTTCAGCCATTCACCCTTTGAAGGGCATCTGAGTTGTTTCCAGCACTGGCTGATTATGAATAAAGTGGCTATAAACATTTACATAGAGGTTTTCATGTGGACATAAGTTTTCATTTCTCTAGGGTAAATACGTAAGAGTGGGGTTGTTGGGTTATATGGTAAGTGCAGGGGCCCTGTTAATGAAACATGTTTCTCTTTACACATGCAGGATGGCCAGATGCTGCTGCCATGACAGGTGTATGGCAAGCGAGACCCCTCAAAGACCAGCAGACTAGCCCCTGCTCAACTGGGGTATCAGCTCACTAGGTGGAATCATGCCCAGAGGAGCTATTCACTGACTATTTCTCCTGTTGTTCTTCGTTTTTGTAAAGAACGCATGCTAAAAGTCACCTGTGTCTAGTGAGACTGCCCCAGTTCTTCATCTGCGCTCCAACCTACTCCCACAGCTCCATCCTTCCAAATTCCGATGCTTGCCTCCCATTGACACCTGATCAATCAGGTTACCTGTTTTATGTGTGAGTTCATTGTTGGATCAGCTTTGACTAACAGTTCTCCAGGCATTTGTTTCTCTTTTTATATTTTTGTCTTCTCAGCAGACATCCCTGCAACTATGTGTATGGGTCTCTCAAGTATCAAAGTACCAAGAAAAACTTTCCAAGAAATCTTCAAAGGTAGAGAGGAAATGGAGAAAGTCTTTCCCCATTCCTATGAAACAGTGGGGAAATAGTCAAAATATACATACAATTATCTAGCAGAAATTGGTAAGGGTAATTAGGAAATAGATGCTTTCTAGAGAGGAAAATAAGGTAATTGGAACAAGGTTGCAAGAAGAGGATGGGTAGACATTGCAAATGATCTGGAAGCAAAGATCCCTTAAATGTGATGTTCTGGAAACATTTCTGGCTGAATCAAACCTAAACTGGGATGTCTCTTTGGTACAAGGTGTACAGGCTTCCTACAGGAGCTATCAGTTCCATGAGGGAGGAAACTTATGTTCCAAATTCATTAATCCCTCCATTCATTCAACACATATTTATTAAGGTCTGCTTTGACTCAGGCATTTGGTTAGGAAACAGAAAAACTGGGAAGGCCAGGCCCTGCCCTCAGGGAGATCACCGAGACAATGAGCAGATACCCATGGTGTGGTGTGGCTGACTGTTCTGGAAGTCTGGACAGAATGCGGGAGCATTCAGAGCAAATGACTGCTATAAAAAAAACACAGAGATGGGTGTGGTAGTGTGCACCTGTCATCCCAGCTACTTGGGAGGCTGAGGTGAGAGGATCATTTGAACCCAGGATTGCAAGGCTGCAGTGAACTATGAGCACACCACCGCACTGCAGCCTGAGTGACAGAGCAAGACTTGTCTATGACAAACACACACACAGATACACACACAAACACTGCACATTGCCAAATACTAGGCTCCAGAAGAAGCTGACCAACAATCAGGCACAATGTCCTGTGTCATTTAAAATGCTGAAATGTCTAAATTACTATTTTAAAATATTCTAATTTGTTTCTGAAATGCTTCCCAAAACGCCCATAAAAACACTGGAAAAACACTTCAAAAGGGTCACCTTCTTAAAAGATGATTTTTCAGCTGCAGTGTAGAAAAGCCTTAGTTTAAAAGTTCATTTTTACTATCAACTAACATGCACACATTTAAATAATGGGGACAATAAATGTAGTTATATTTTCAAATACAAATTAGTTTCATTAAGAGTAAGCCCTCATTTGCCATACTTGCTGCTAATCTGAGGCAGCCTATAAAGCTAATTTTAACAAATGCCAACAGCTCGTCACAAGCAACCGGAGACGGGGCAATTATAAGCAAACCCATTTTTTATTTCTACTCTCAAATTCTGTATTTGGAGACTCAAGCATGTTTATTACTTCATCCAGTCATCCAGAGTAAGGACTTTTCATCCAAATAAAGAAGTCTTTACATGATAACGACGTCTCTCTAGATCCAGAAATATAAATTAAACTTAAAAGTTCAGTCGAGTATTCAGATGGTGTCAGATTTTGCTGTCCTGCAACGGAGTCTAAGAAACTCCAGGATAACTAAAATGTCCCCGGTGAAAGTGTTCCTGATCCAATGCCAAGTGTAAAGAACAATCTAGATCAAACTATATTAATGTATGGTACCACTCTTTTTAAGTGTCTGTGTATTTGTTTACAAAATCCACATTTTAAAAAAACTAGCAGGACATAAGCCACGTGTGAGCAGAACTTTTTTTCTGGGTGATGACACTATGGGCTACATTTTCAAGTTTTCTTGGTTGAGCGTGCATTATTGTCATGGTCGAATCAATAAGGGGCACCTTGAGAGGCCTAGGCAGGTGAATCACTTGAGCCCAGGAGTTCAAGACTAGCCTGGGCAACATGGAAATACTCTGTCTCTACAAAAAAAAATTTTTTTAAGAAGTTAGCTGGGCAGGGTGCCATGTGCCTGGGGTTCCAGCTACTCAGGAAGCTAAAGCGGGAACATCACTTGAGTCCAGGAGATTGAGGCTGCAGTGCGCTGTGATCTCACCACTGCACGATACTTAGTGCACAGCCTGGGCAACAGAGTGAGACCTTGTCTCAAAAAAGAAAAGAAAAGAAAACAATAAGGAAATCACAGCCAGCCTCCAGGACGGTCCTCCATGACCCTCCTGGTATTCACACCCTTGCGCGGTCCCCTCCTACACTGAATAGGGCTGACTTGTGTAACCAGTAGGATATGGTGGAAATGAGTGTGATTTCCCAGGCTAGGTTATAGGAAACATTGTGGGTTCTATGTCACTCTCCCAGACCTCTCGTTCTGGGGGCAGCTAGCTGCCATGTTGTGAGGCTCTATCAGCCAGATGGAGAAGTTCCCTCTGCAGGGCAACAAGGCCTCCTGCCAATAGCCAGCACTAACTCGACACCCATGTGGAAGTGGGTCCTACAGCCTTTAGCCCAGCCGACATCCTCATGGCAACCTCATGAGAGACCCTAAGTCAGAACCACTCAGTTAAGCCACTTCTGGAGCCCACTTCTGGAAACCATGCAAGAGAACATGTTTGCTGTTTTAAGCCTCCAGGTTTTAGGATAATTTGCCACCCATCGATAGATAATTAATCCAGGCAGTTCATGTTAAAAGTCTTGCTCCTAGATGAGAAGTGGCATTGTGGAGTGGTTGAGAGCTGACTCCTCAGCTGCCAAGTTTTGGAGTAATTTTTTACACAATAAAAGACACCTAATAGGAGTGGTGTTTGCATCATAAAAAGAAAACACTTGCCTACCCAACTCCTCCAACTCCCACAACTTACCACCATCTCAGTCCATCTCAGCAGGGGTGTGAACCCAAGTCCATCTCTGCTCTGCTGCTCTCCTGTTACCCTTCCCTAAAAATCGCTCCCACTCAGAACCTGCTACTCAACATGTGGACCTCAGATCAGCAGCAGCTTCTGGGATCTTGTTAAAAATGCAGAATCCCAGGCCTCATCCCAGACCTGCTGAATTAGAATCTGTATTTGAGCAACAAGCGATTCCTTATAGTTTGAGAAATGCCGGACTGTCGCAGTGGCTCTTAATCTTGACTGCACCTTGGAACCAAGTGGAAAGTTGTTAAAAGCCCTGATGCTCAGGCACTTAGGGGTGGGGTCACAGCACCATTACTTTTTAAACCCCCAAGTGATGCTAACACGCAGCCAGGGTTGAGCATCAGTGCTCTTGGGGCAAACCCCATCTTTTCCCACTCCTAACTCCCTCCAATCTCCTAATAGCCAGGAACAGTGGGTCCCAGGGTCCTCCTACAGACTCACATCTGAAACTGAGAACCACAGTTCAGGGCTCATCCACGCTGTTCTGCTTAGTTCCAGGTCCCTCAGTCTCTTGAATCTCTTTCTACCTCAGATGCCCCTTCCCTGTCTCCTCTGCCATCCTCCCAGGCAAGCACAGGCACCTCCTACATTTCCGTCCTCCTCCGTCCTCTTGCCTCACTTTTCCAAAATTATTTTAATTATAAACCACTTCAAACATATGGAAAAGTACAGAACATGAGATGCCTGTGGACCCACCACCTGGATTTAACAAGTGCTTGCATTTTTACCTTCTTTGCTTCAGATCTTTTATTTTTGCATAAACAGACTTCTTGGACACAGCCCTCACACCATTCCCTTTCTTTCTATCTTTCTATCCCTGCGTGCACTCTTTCACAATCTATATATAACACACAGAACAACATATGGCAGAGATCTGAGGATTTCTCAGCTCATAGCACCCTTAGTTTCTCTGTACATTTTTTAATGGCACACCCTAGACTTAAAAAAAATACCCAATACTTCCTTTCATTAAGTAGTTAGGTTCAAACAATACTTATTCACAACCTAATAACAGCAGCCTTTCAAAAAAAAAAATAGCACACACAAACTGAAAGAAGAAATATTTTTCTTTCATTCTTAACCACGATTACCTACTAACGGGATGTGTGCATCTGTTGGATACTGTGCAACTTCTCAAAACTTGGAACCACACTGAACACCCCCATCCTAATTTCCAGTTCCACGCTGATTTTCTTAGCAATGACCCAAAATGTAGCTTGTAAAGATATGACATCATCAAGAGTAATATGGTAGTGTCAGCTGTTGATATTGTGAAGTGCCTCCAGCTAGCAGTTAGCGTGGTATCTGACAGATGTTAAGAAATGCTGCATCTTCCTCAAAAATGTAAACTATCCCTTGGCCACCCCGTGAATTTACTGCAGTGCCTTGGGGTGTCTTAGCACAGGATTTGGGAACCACCAATACACAGTATTATGTGTGTTCAAAAATGTTACTTACATGCTGTTGTCTTCCCCTTAGCACTCACACTCCCTCTCTTGCCCTAACTTAAGCTGCTCCAGGAAAGAGCTCCCCAGTCTCCTTCCCAGCCTGTCTGTCTTCTCTCCAGCTCCAGGCAGACATCTCCAAGGAATGGTCTCAACATCTCCACCGGAACTTTCTCTCTTTACCTGAGACTTTCTCAGCACTTCTGGAAGAATATGCCCCAGGGAATACAGCCCCTTGCCTGACAAGCCGGCTCCTCCTCCTGCATTTCTTGTCCAGGCCCCAAACCCCAGTATCAGCCCGCTGCCACCACCATCCTCACCCTGACATTGGCCCACCCAGAGCTAGTGGATGCTATCCATTCCCCTACTTTTTTCTCCAAACCAATCTGCCATCTCAACAGCAATCAATGCTTTCCTGCAATCTGGCTCCCCCCATCCATCTAATTCCTGTCTCCAGCTTTTCCCACATTAACCATTTTACACCACACAAGTGGCTCAAAGAGCATAATCACATCCGCTGTGCAGCCTGGAGTCCTCAGCCTCGATCTCACTCCACCCTCCCTCCTTTCCAGTCCTACCTCCCATTGTTTCCCTTCACAATTGACCCCAGGGTCAGGTCAGGCTAAGCTACTGCAGTCTTTTGTACACACCCAGAACTCACCAGCACCACCCTTTTCCTCTAGCGGACCTCCACCTGACATTCCTTTCCTGTCCCTCTCATCCTTCATCCTCTGTATTAGGCTAGGTTC